TTGTATCTTTTTTTTTCACACTTGTGTACCAATCACACAGAATGTATCTGTTGATAATCAGTTGTTCATATAGGTGTGATCTATTTTTGTATACTCTATTTTGTTCCATTGATCTATTTGTCTGTCTTTATACCAATACCACACTATCTTGATGACTGTAGCATTATAATAAGTCTTGAAATCAAGTAGTATTAGCCCTTCAACTTTGTTCTTTTATAAGGGTTATTCTAGGTCCTTTGCTTTTCCATATGAATTCCAGAAGTAGCTTGCTAAATTCCATGAAAAATCCTGCTGGGATTTTGATTGGGATTGCATCAAAAGATATACATGCCTGAGAGGCGTATCTTCAGTGGCAGGGCAGGGACCAGTTCCAGCATTTAACTACTGGCCATCCCTGGCCATCCAGTGCTCCCCTGACTGGCATTTTGGGGCCATCTTTTGTGTTAATATAACTAGCTCACACCCAAGGCAAGACATCGATAGTTTCCCTCCCTGCTCTTAGGCCAGTCTCACATTTATATTGTCCTGAACCTCTGCGCCACGACACAGAGGCATCTCCAGCTCATGAGCTGCTCCTTCACTGGTTAAGTGGGGACCCCCTACACAGGCCCTGCCCCACACAGCAGGAACATCAGCGATGGTGAGATCCTGACCGTGTAAATCCAACTGGCTCCTGGCTAGCCTGTCACTAAGTACACAGCCTAATGCCTACTACCTGTAGTTTTCTGGACGAGCTCAGAAAGTTAAAGCTCCACTTAAAACACCAACCATAAAAGCAACTTAGCCTTTACCTGTTAAACAGAAGTCCTTACCATTGCTCTGAGCATGGCGCAAGGACTCTAGACTACTTTTTAAATCCAGTCTAAATTCTCTAAAGCAAATCCAGCTTTGACTCCTTAATGGGGGTCCAGGGAAAGGGTTCTCATCTCAACTATTCTCTATCTACTCAAGCCTTCCCTGGTCCCTCACACAAAGCATTTATAGCCCACCCAGGGTCCTAACTTGGGGAGCCAACAGGACTCTCCAGAAAGAGACCGAGACATGTCAACGGGGCCACTTTTTGAAAGTCTCAAAACCTATTTCTTTCTCTTTGCAAATGGCCTTGTCCCTAACTATCATGACATTCTTGATCCTGCTATTGTTCTATTAATCCACAGTAATCGTCTTAATCTGTGAAATCCAAATTTGTTATGTAGGAAGTGGTGTCACTGGGAATTGAGAAATAGAATTTTCTATGTCGATTACAAAGGAAGCAAGGGAAGGATTTATAGAAATTTGCTATAAGCTGGTTTAGGAAGCGTGGTTATTCAAATAATCTTTTTGAGCCTATTTTTTCTCTGAAATACAGGCAGGAGGGTAATGGCCAAGGCATCACCTTCAGCTGAGGCCGTGGGGCTCTCTCCCCTCCCCTTTCAGCAGAGGAGGGTCTCCAGGAGAACCCCCTCCCTAGGTCTCTTGCTAATTAAGCTACTTCTTGGTCCTGGCCCTACTCGTCTTACATCTTCTCTCTTTATTCATTCTGGCCCCTGGGGATTCATCTGATTTGCTTTTCTCTTCACATCTTTTATTAAGTATCTAGCCTTTAAATTCTTCTTCCAAAACTAACGTCAAAAATGGGAGACGGCTGGGCATGGTGGCTCACACCCATAATCTCAGCACTTAGGGAGGCCAAGGTGGGAGGATCACTTGAGGCCAGGAGTTTGAGATCAGCCTGGGCAACATAGCGAGACCCCCCTCTCTGCAAAATATTAAAAAAATTAGCCGGGTATAGTGGTAGGTGCCTATAGTCCCAGCTACTGGGGAGGCTGAGGCAGGAGGATATCTTGAGCCTAGGAGTTTGAGGTTGCTGTGAGCTATGATGATGCCACTGCACTCCAGCCTAGGCAACAGAGCGAGACCCTATCTTAAAAAAAAAAAAAAAGGTGGGGAGAGAATTCCTCAGCTTCCCTTTTCCTTGCTGTCCATCATTCTCTTATTTCAAAATATTTACTGAACACTCCCTGCATTTTTAATTAATATTTGAGTCAGATTCCATCTCTGCCCTGGTGAACATGATAAGAGTGAGGCAGACAGATATTAAACGACCAGACAACCACACAGACTTGAACAAAAGATGCATGCCATTTAAGATTTTAACATTTCTGAAACTGAAATACATCTTATAGGTGATGGTGTAAGACAGAGACACTGACCCAGTGGCTAAGTCAGATGAGAGCAGTGTAATATGGTTATCCGTTAGCACTCTCAGGTTTTATCTCTGCTAGTCACCTACGTGTATGCTTCTAAATAATTTGCTGCAGCTGCCCTTTCATGCTGCATTCGCCCGCCAAACAGCCTGGGACAAGGGCTTGCATGTGGGCAGTTTATTTGGGATGGTGACTTAGAGTCCTCCGTGTCAGTTCTCTTCACTTCTAACCCCAGTACCAGTGGCCATAGCATACTAATACCTGTGGTAGGAATGACTCTTGGTGCACAAACTTAAAGTATGCATAAAATATCCATTTCTTTGTGTTCTTATTATCAAACTACGTTTTTCAACCCTCCAGCCCGCTAGGCTAGGGGAAAATTGTACTGTGGTCATTGTTGAGGTCTCTGCTGGGCTCTCAGCAGGAGTTGTTAGGGCCTAGGGCCCATAGATAGCCAACAACCAGCCATTAGCTTCTGTATTATGCTTGCTTGCTTGCTTGCTTGCTTGCTTGCTTAGGAGAGTGGGAAAATTTCAGTTGACCCTTATCTGACTCCACACCCGCCATCCTGACTCTGCTAGTGTGATTAAGTTTAGAAACTAAGGAGAAGGGTGGTGGTGCATGGCACAACCGCCCACAAAATATAGCCTCTAGGCCAGGGTCGAAGCACCCTGGACCCCTGAGGCGCCTGACATGCTTCATGTACCCAGTGGAATGCGTTCTGGCTTAGATCACAGGATGCAAGATGTACTCCAACTAAGATAGATGGTGTCCGTAAATTAGGATACTTCAGGCGCATCCTCTGGGCTGAATCTTGGGGATCCTCTGGGCTGAATCTTAGCCATCCTCTGGGCTGAATCTGCAGCCGGTGACTCCTACAAAACCAATCTCAAGGCTCCAAACGCTCCCCATTGTGTTAAAACAAGATAAGATTGTAAGATTGATGCTTTCTCTCACTTCTGTAAAAGTGCTTGCTAATCAGATTTTTAGAGTGTGTGTTTTTTTTTTTTTTTTTTGCCTTTAAAAGGGGGCTGTTTTTCCATTCTCATCACTACTTTCTGTGCCTGCCTCTCTGCAGGACAGGAGTAGTCCTGGCCAGTAAATAAAGACTCACAATTTGGCCCAATTCGGTTTCTAAGATGGTCTTTTCTCGCACTTGGGACCATAACAGAAGTCAGAAGTTCTATGTGGCGCCTGCAACAGGCACGACCACCTTCCCACATATTGTGCTCTTTGCTGTCTTCATCTTCTGACCCAATGTGGTCTCTTTTGGTCTGGGAGGTCTCGGTTGCCTTGAGCCGGAAGCCCTGCAGTTAGGTCCTGCCACCCCAGGCTTGCTGAGTCAGCGCCTCTGAAATCACAACCCTCATACCGAGGGAAGGAGGCTGGAAGGAACCCCTCCTGCTGCCGCCTTTACCTGCCTCAAAGGTGCTCTCCCACTGGCATCCTCCAAGGAAGACAGCATCATCTCTTTAATGAACTCCTGTTTTAGGAAAACTCACAAAACGAGCATCTTTCGAGTGACTTCGCTTTAGGCAGAGTAGCCCCAACTTCCTCTGAGGCACAGCCTTAGTGAGGGGTGGGGGAAGCACAGAGGCCCTGCCTACCCTGGTGGGCCAGAGAGGGGCATTGTGGGAAGGAATATCCCAGTAAATTGTGCCGCCAGGCAGATCATACGTAAGCGATCCTGGGCTATTTGTAAAATGAAAACCCATGGCTTGTGCATTAGTCACGCATAAGAATCCAGAAAGGACTTGAGTTTTTAGATCAGCTTTAAGTCCAGTAGGGGGATTTTGTGGCCCACTGATGGGCCTCCAGCCCTTTTTTAAGATTCTATCTGGGTCGGGCATGGTGGCTCACGCCTGTAATCCTAGCACGCTGGGAGGCCAAGGCAGACGGATTGCTCCAGGTCAGGAGTTCAAAACCAGCCTGAGCGAGACCCTGTCTCTACTAAAAATAGAAAGAAATTAATCGACCAACTAAAAATATTAAAAAAAAAAAAAGAATTCTATCTGGTCCCACCTTCTGTCTGTGGAAGACACTTGTCACAACATCCCTCAAGGGCGCTCACTGAGCCCTGGCTTGAGTGGCTCCAGGCACAGGAAACAGCTGCCTCCCAGGGCAAGAGATGCCTTTTCTGAACAGCTTTCATGGAAGGCAACGTCTGTTCACTAATCAGGCTTCGCCCTTTGAAGCTTCCATGAGGTTATCTAGTTTACTAGCAGTGGCTCCAGGGACATCATTTTAAAGTTTTTGCAGGACTCTGGGGTACAATGTGTGTGGGCCTGGAGCCTTGAACTCATTTAAAACATGTAGATCTTCTCTTGTTAACTCCTCTCATTAGGACTTTTTGGCCTCTTAAGGATATCTGGTCTTCCCATGCCAGTTGGAAAGTTTCTCGTTAAAAAAATTGAAATTATACCCAATGTACATAGCTGAAAAAGAAAATATAGAAAAAGAAATAAAGTTAATTCAATTATTTAAACAAAATTGTAAAAATGGAATTAAGTAGTTCTTTTTTTTTTCTTTCATTGCTTAACTTTATTCTCTTTATAGAAACAGTGGAAGTTCATAGTGTTAAAAAAAATTGGGGGGGGGGGAGGTCAAGAGAAGAAAACATTACCCATAAACCCAACACCCAGATTTCTTCTTTTCTTAAATGGATAAATAGAAGTATAATCATATGTTTACGAAATTTCCCCCTGGCTACACTGTTTGGAGCTTGCCTCTTCCACTTAGTGTTATGCCTTGCAAAGCCTGCTTTCTCTCTTTTGTTGCCAATAGTGTGCACACAAACACGGTGAACGTTCCTAAAGTCCTAATGTCTGCCGGACTCTCTGTAAGAAATGTGGCATGCACCAACTCCACAAAGTGACACCGTACAAAAAGGGCAAGGATTCTCTGTATGCCCAGGGAAAGCAGCGTTATGATAGGAAGCAGAGTGGCTATGGTGGGCAGGCGAAGCTGATTTTCTGGAAAAAGACTAACACTACAAAGAAGACTGTGCTGAGACTTGAGTGTGTGGAGCCCAGCTGCAGATCTAAGAGAATGCTGGCTAGCAAGAGCTGCAAGCATTCTGAACCGGGAGGAGATAAGAAGCAAAAGAGCCACGTGATTCAGTTCTAAGCATCTTTTTTTTTATTATGAAGACAATAAAATCTTGAGGTTATGTTAATTACAAAAAAAAAGTCTGCTTTCTCACTCTCACCATTTATCATGAAACCCTAGTCACAAACAGTGAGTTACCTCTTCATTATTCCTATTTCAGATACATCTATTTTTATAAGCTCTTGTATGTTTTGTTCTTTGGGTTCCTGGGACTACTGTTTTAGTTCCTTAAGTTTCACGTACTTGATTCTGTGTATATCCTTCTGTCTGCGTGCACAATGGTTTATAATCTGTCCTTGGCTGGGCACGGTTGCTCATGCCTATAATCCTAGCACTCTGGGAGGCCGAGGTGGGAGGATTGCTTGAGGTCAGGAGTTCGAGACCAGCCTCAGCAAGAGCCAGACCCCATCTCTACTAAAAATAGAAAGAAATTAGCCAGGCACCTAAAAATAGAAAAAATTAGCCAGGCTATATGAAAGGCTGAGGCAGGAGGATTGAGGTTGCTATGAGCTAGGCTGACACCATGGCATTATAGCCTGGGCAACAGAGCAAGACTCTGTCTCAAAAAAAAAGGCTTTGCACAGTGGTAGTATAGTAGCCAATGGTAGCCAATGAGGTTAACCAAGGCACGATTATTGCTAACTAAAAACTTTTCCCAATACCCTGCCATGACAACTTGCACTATAGTCAGCATTGGCAATTTTTGATGGTCCCTACAGGGCTACAGGGACTAAAATTTAAATAAATAAATGAAAACTATAATCTATCTTTGTTTCTGTCACCTATGTATGACCCTACTTTAGATATCTTCCCATTTCTTCCTCCAAAAAGAGCATCATTTGTAATTGCTTACTCAGCAATTGCTTTGGTTAAGCCTTCAGGCCTCTTGAGCCAAGTTAAGTTTTAGAGGCTCTATTTCTTTCCTCTGGACATTTTTGTCATCTGCTTGACTGAGTCCAAAGCAGGGGCTCCAACTCAGGCCCAGCCTGATCCTTTCTGAGAACCTGTTTCTCTGCCCACGCCTCTGCCCCAACATAACACAAGGTGTGCACACACACGGTAAGATCCTGCACTCAACAGCTGACCTGTGGAGTACCCTTGGCTCCGCGGCCACAGTAGAGTGCTGAACTGGGTTGAAGACATCTGGTTCAAACCAAACCAATAGCGTTTCTGTCCTGGGAACATGGAACTGGGACTCAGGGTCTGTCAGGCTAGCCCTTCCTGAAACTTTCATGAGGAATGGTAGGAAGTAGGGGGCAGAGCAGCCACATCTGGCCCAGATGCATGTGGATGGCAGAGGAAGCCAGTTTTTAGAGAAAGAGAACACAGCAGGCACAGAGAAAGACACAGAGATGCTACAGCAGACAAATATGCTCCAGATATGCTTAGATCCCTCTTACCAGGTCTGTGTGTGTTCAGCTTCTGCAAACTGGTTAATGGCCCTCATCGGTGACTTTCTGAGGACTGCCTTCGGGTGTTGGAGCCCCCCACCATGGACAGCTAGAAGCCCCCAGGAGTTTTCTATTCTCCCTCTCACCCCTGCCCATGGCTATGCCCATCAGCGGACTGCCCTGCAAGTACAAAGGTTTAGCTCCTTTGTTGAGGCAGAACAAACTCTGAGTTTTCATCTGCAGCCCTGGGTCCCCATTCCCATGCCCCTGGTTAGTTTCCCCTGGGAGCCTCTCACTCGCACCTGAATCTTGGGCATTGAGAAGAACCTGATGCAGAACAGACGGGAAAACAGGCAGCCCAGAGGAACAGCAGGAATACGCTGGGCCTGAGGGTTACGAGTTCCTGGTTCAGCTCCGGCCTGTGGCTTTTGTGACCTCCTCCTAAATCCCCAACTCACTTCCCATTTGGGTTAAATTTGACCTAGGCCATTTCTCTTACGTGTAACCCTAAAAACCTTGCGGCAAGCACCCAGCATTCCCCAGGGCTGGCATAGTCATGCTCGCAAAGTCCACACGCTTTTACTGCAATCAAGGATTTCCAACTGCTCCGTCTCTGGGGGATGGATGAAATGATCAGTGGACCAAGTTTAGAATTCATCAGATGTTTTTCCTGGAAAGTGGCTTCCAGCAGAATTTCTAGACTTTTAAGTCACTCATTATTGCTATTTTGGGCCATGTGTATGCTTTTGTATTTATTTCTAAACATTGAAAGGCTAAATATACATTATATTTATGCAAATAAATATTAATATAAATTATATTATATATGTGTGTCATTCTTAATTTACAACTTAATTAGCAACTTTAAAAATATTATTTTAAGGGCTGGGCGCGGTGGCTCACGCCTGTAATCCTAGCTCTCTGGGAGGCCGAGGCGGGCGGATTGCTTGAGGTCAGGAGTTCAAAACCAGCCTGAGCAAGAGCGAGACCCTGTCTCTACTATAAATACAAAGAAATTAATTGGCCAACTAATATATATAGAAAAAATTAGCCAGGCATGGTGGTGCATGCCTGTAGTCCCAGCTACTTGGGAGGCTGAGGCAGAAGGATTGCTTGAGCCCAGGAGTTTGAGGTTGCTGTGAGCTAGGCTGACGCCAGGGCACTCACTCTAGCCTAGGCAACAAAGCGAGACTCTGTCTCAAAAAAAAAATATATATTATTTTAACGGAAAGTTCATGTCTTCTTCCCTTTTATCCAAAAGTCTATTTATAGAACAAAAACCAAGCGCACGTTCCTTATTTGGTGTTTGTGCTTCTTCCTTCTTCTACTATAGCCTGCCTGAAAGATATTTTTATTGCTCCTACAAAGAGGTTTTTTTCCCCTTTGGTTCTTTCTTAAAAGCCATGGAATTCATTCAATTTTTTTTGTTTGTTTGTTTTTGTTTTTGTTTTTGTTTTTTGAGACTGAGTCTCGCTTTGTTGCCCAGGCTAGAGTGAGTGTCGTGGCATCAGCCTAGCTCACAGCAACCTCAAACTCCTGGGCTCAAGCGATCCTCCTGCCTCAGCCTCCCGAGTAGCTGGGACTACAGGCATGCGCCATCATGCCCGGCTGATTTTTTCTATATATATTAGTTGGCCAATTAATTTCTTTCTATTTATAGTAGAGATGGCGTCTCGCTCTTGCTCAGGCTGGTTTAGAACTCCTGACCTCGAGCAATCCACCCGCCTTGGCCTCCCAGAGTGCTAGGATTACAGGCGTGAGCCACTGCGCCGGGCCTTCATTCAATTTTAATTGCTAGGTTCTTTCCTGACTGTGATGAAAAGTAATATTGTTCGACAGACCCACTTCACAGTGCTGGTAAATTATAGATAGGGCCAGGATCCAAATCCCAGCCAGCCTGAATTCTAGAGCTCACAGTCCTAATCACAAAACTGCCCCTCACAGCCCTTAGCATGGTGCCCAGTAAAATAAATATATTTGTCAATACAAACTAAACTGTCTAAAGAAGGTTTATCTTTGGTGAGGAATAATCAAATAAGTGGAGAATTTCTCTAAATGTGGAAACATCGTCATTACAACATCACACCAGGGGTGTGGGCCCACAGTCTCGGGCTTGGTTTGTAAACAGCAGCACACACTCAGGTCTCTGGCTTGGAAAAGCCATTCCCCACAAGGCTAACTTCAACCCATCAACTGAATCATTTCTGATTTGGAAACCTGAAATTTTTATTATAATGTTATTTTTTTCTGATGACTAAAGTAACTCATGCAAAAACAGTTGGAAAATACATAAGAAAATTGTAGCTACTGGCTGGACGTGGTGGCTCACGCATGTAGTCCTAGCACTCTGGGAGGCCGAGGCTGCTGGATCGCTCAAGGTCAGGAGTTCGAAACCTGCCTGAGCAAGAGCAAGACACCCTCTCTACTAAAAATAGAAAGAAATTAGTTGGCCAACTAAAAACATATAGAAAAAATTATCTGGGCATGATGGCACATGCCTGTAGTCCCAGCTACTTGGAAGGCTGAGGCAGAAGGATCGCTTGAGGCCAGGAGTTTGAGGTTGCTGTAAGCTAGGCTGATGCCATGACACTCTAGCCCGGGCAACAGAGTGAGACTGTTGTCTCAAAAAAACAAACAAACAAACCAATCAGCTCTTGTGGGAATTAAGAGTGAGAACTAAGAGTGAGAACTTGCTCATGCCTCATCTCAGGGAGAGCATTAATTTATTCATGAGGGATCTGACCCCATGACCCAAACATCTCTCATTAGGTGCCCCCTCCAGCATTGGGGATCAAATTTCAACATGAGGTTTGAAGGGGACAAATCTGAACCATAGCAGTCACATTCTGAGGCTCCAGGAAGGACACAAATTTGGGGTGGACACAATTCAACCCATTATATGTGGTGAGGAGGATTTCCCATATGCAGAGTAGGATTAAAGAGCACTATTTCCAAAAATCACATTTACAAAGGATAGGCTGTGATCTATACCCCGGACTCTGAACGAGGAATGATGGAGGAAGGAAGTCACTAATTCTTTTTTCTTATGTTAATGGCTGAATTGCTGCCTACTGTGGAAGAAAACAGTTTTGGATTAACTGGACCAATAGTGGGTATTTATTTCATATGCAGTACATCATTGGCTTAAAATAGTAAATGATAAACTCATCCTGAAAAAATAATTTAGTAGATGAAAGCCAAGAGAGAAGCACTGGTAGATGAATCATCTCTTCAAACGTAATGTGTGTTTCTGGGCATGAGAGGTGAGTGCCATTGTGTGAGAAAACATACTAATCACCCCATCTGAGCCGTTAGTAACCCTTAACAGGGACAGGGAACTTGGGTACTGACCTCAGTGGACACTGAGGCGTTTCAGGTCCTTCCTCCCTGTGGATGTGAGCTGAGCCGAGTCACCCTACAGAGATGACAGATGACTTGATTGGATTAATGCCATCGAAAGAGAGAGAATGCGTATTGGAGGTGTTACACATAACAAGCTGAAGTATTTCTTATTAGCCCTGAGTGAGTGCCTGGCCTCTTCTACCTATTTTCCTATTTGAGGATTGTTTTTAATTCCTTGAGGGTAAAATTTTTTTTTTTTTTTTTTGAGACAGAGTCTCACTCTGTTGCCCGGGTGAGTGCCATGGCACCAGCCTAGCTCACAGCAACCTCCTGCCTCAGCCTCCTGAGTAGCTGAGACTACAGGCATGCACCACCATGCTCGGTTAATTAATTTATATATATGTGCATATATATATTTTTTTAATTTGCCAATTAATTTCTTCCAATTTTTTTTAGTAGAGATGGGGTCACGCTCTTGCTCAGGCTGGAGCTCCTAATCTTGAGCTATCCACCTACCTCGGCCTCCCAGAGTGCTAGAATTACAGGCGTGAGCCACCACACCCAGCCTGAGGGTAAATTTTTTAAGAATTAAAATAATTAA